TCTGGAAGAGCAGTCAGTGCCCTCAACTGCTGAGCCATCTCTCTAACCCCCAAACATGCATTTCACAGAACCACAGGAACAGATAAGTCTGACAAAGTAGGGGTCTGTTACTTTACTTCTGTCTCATAGCAGGCGTGACTATGGAGCACCCAGGCAGATACTGGGAAGATTAGTTAGGGAGGGAGCTTTCAATTAGTATAGAATTCTAAGAAGAAGAGGGCTTTTTGTGTACTAACTACATTTCTTACTAATTAATACGTGTAGGAAAAAAGAGAAGAAAACCTGGCAGGTCTGTTGCACTCTCTGAGCACTTCTGCTGCTGCTTCCTTCTGCAGTGGCTGAGAAAGCAGGATTGTGGTAACCTTGGCAACCAGAGTGAGCCACAGGAGGGAAGCAGATGGTACTTGTGGTACTTGTTTTGTATTGGCTTTTTTTTTTTTTCCTAACTGAACTAAAGGAAATTTCTTAGCACTAGATCAAAGTGAAAAGCACGGTTATGTAAAGTCCCTGGCTAAGAGGCAGGGTGCTGTATCTGCTGGTGCCCAGCTGAGAAGGAATTCCTTTCTCTGGGGCTTGTTTAGGGATTCAAGTATTTTTCCTGTATCTCTAGGGGTAAAGGCACGAACAGTGAATTTCCCAGACTAAGCTCTGGTGTCAAATGAAAGCGAGATAAAGTAAGTAGAGAGCATTGGTAGCTTGTTAGGGTAGAATAAAGGCCAGGAGGTTACACTCTCCTGAGTTGGCTGTTAGAGAATTCAGGGCTGCCAGGTCATGTTTATCAGTAAGGGCAGACTTGCTCTCTCCTGCTCAGTCAGTGCCTGTCGTTGGAGACCAAATGTGGTCTATTTGCAACGTTTCTCTCCTTGTCAGATGTCCTTCCATAAAGGATGATTGTGGGAGACTAACTTTATGTAGATTTGACTGTGAGAACTCAGGTTTTTTGAGGGAATGCTGTCATACCAGGGCCCCATGCTATGGGATAGATAAGGTCGTCCAGTTACCATACGGCAGGGGGTTACGCTCAATAATTAGTGCACCGCTGATGCTTTTTGGGGACAATCCCACTATGGAAAAGAGGGTGCTATGGGTGTTATGACTTCACAAGGGTTTACAGAAATGGCAGGGGCTATTCAAAAGACAAGTATTTCCGGAGCCTTGCCAATCAGGCTTCCTTCACTGGAACACTCCTGTGAGTTAGTCTAGAGAGTTGTCAGCTGGACTTCCCACTGCGTGGTCCTGTGGGCTGTAGCCGTTTTTAAAACGTGTATTTCTTTATAAGGGGCTAAGGCTGGAGAGATGGCCCAGCAGGCAGAGACACTTTCTGCCAAGCCTGGAAATGCCTGTGTGTGCTCACACAAACCCACTAAATAGATATGGGCATATGTTAGAGCATATGTTACTACTAGTGATACATTTTTGGCCTCTAGACAACGCTTTCCTGGGACCTTTAGTGACTTTCTTAAAGGCTCCCCATTTGGTGATTGGCAGGTGGACAGGAGGCAGTTTCCAAGGGAGGAAGTCAAGAGTGACAGTTTCTCCAGCTGAGACAAGTGAGCATCACCATGTTGGAGGAAGGTAACAAGTTATGGAAGCCACAGTCTCCCATTACTCATGGGACTATGGACCCTGGAGAGCAGGGCTGTTGTCTTCATCCTGATGCTCGTAGCTTCTAGTGGGTTCATGGCACACAGTGGTTGTTAGCTGAGCAGGATCATTAGGATACAAGGGTTTAAGTGAAAGTTAAGAGACTTGACAAGCCCAACATAAATTAATTGCATTGCAATTAAAATAATCACCTGTAAAGAAGACATTTCATGTCCTTGAACAAATGTAAGCCCAGGGTGTGGTCTGTTTAATTGAAATGAAAGATCGCCAGCTCTGTTAGATGCAGTGCCGTGCTGGCTATGGAGGACCTTGTTTGAGTTTTGGAGTGATTCTTAGTGAAATGTTTATGGAGAGATCACCAGATACAGTAGACTTAAAATGCTGCAATCGTAACGAGAGAGACTGAATGAAAGTGGTTGAAAAGAATCTGGCAAAGCTAGGGAACAGGATTAGGAAGCATTTTGCTCTTTACTTATGTCATTGTTTGGAAACATTCACCTCTAAGCTTAGTTTTCCACTGTAAAAGGGACACGCCCACTGTCTCAGCCCTGCCCCTGCCCGCTGGCCTGGTAAGGAGAGGGGCCATGCTATGGGAGACTGGTTTGTGTTCTGTCTTTGGAATCCTTTGTGAGGACTGGAATGGAGAAGGCTAGCTCACTCACCGGTACAGGTTCCTTTCACTGTCAACAACCTCAGTAGGCAGAGGTCCTGTGCTACCCCAGAAGCCATCTTCAATCTTATGAGACGCCATGATGAGCTGGTCTCTCGGAAAAGAGTGCGGCACGGCTTCTTGCTTTGGAGCTTCCTCTGGAAGATGCAGGAAAGTGGTCACGCTTTATCATCCAGGCATGTCTCCCCAGCTTCTGTATCCTGCTAGACTAGGGCGAGGCTCTTCCTGAGACCTGGTTCCAGCCGGGAATGCTTCTGCTGTCTCTGTCCCTGCTCCGGGGGCTTCTCTGTTTCTTTCAATTTTCTCTCACTCTCCTTGTCAGCCCTCCTTCTTCCCCTTCCTTCCTGCATCTATCTCCTTTTTTTCTTTTTTTTCACAGCTTACCTTCTGAGGACCACCCCCAAACCTTGGGACCTGCTTCTGCCTATGGCCCTGCCTCTTTCCCTGTGGCCTCTCTCCAGCATTTCTCCAGAGACAGGTTGAAAGAAGATGGCTGGGCAGGGCCGGATAGGTGAGTTCCAGGCCTTACCCTCTGACAGTGGCCATGGTTCCCTGGTATAGAGTCAGAAGCATAACCCAGACATGTGTGAGGCTTAGCACTGGACCCTGATGCTGCGAGAGAAGAAAGCAGAACATCCTTCCTCTAGATTCTTAGTGTAAAATGTTTTGCAAGAAGGTGTTTCTCTTTTCAGTAACCTGTTTTGCCCCATATCAGAGACAGAGTAGAGATAGGATGATCCCATCCTGATGCTTCAAGTGTGGCCCTTCACATACCTAACTGTAGTTTCTGTCGCTTGAGTGAGGATGGGCCTGCACTCGTTTCTCCTTCATCCAGATCCGGAGTAGAGACCTTCACAGGTGGTTTCCTATACACAGAGATGTTCTTCTTAGATGTCAGGGGAAACTAGGCCTGTCTATAAGACATCCCCACCTATGATCTAACTCATCTGAACTTGAACTAAGGCTCGTGACTCTTCTCTAGGGCACGTCTCTTTAATCTCCCTCCCACAGATCTATCTAGGTCCCCATGTCAGAACTGCTATCATCTTGATCCCCGTTTTTAAAAAATTATTTATTTATACTTTTTATGTATGAGTGCTCTCCACGTATACCTGACCGCCAGAAGAGGGTATCGGATCCTATTATAGATGGTTGTGAGCAACCATGTGGTTCCTGGGAACTGAACTCAGGACTTCTGGAAGAGCAGTCATTGCTCTTAATCGCTGGAGCCATCTCTCCAGCCCCTCTTGATCCCTTCTTTATCAGTGTGGTTTGAATGTGTCTATTAAGGTTCACTGTTAAGTTAATCTAAAATGCACCTTTGCTGGGAAGGGGAGGTAAGAGGTATTGGGGCATAGGGCCTCTGCCTCTGTGAATGGGTTAGTGTCATAATCACAGGAGCAGAGTCCTGTGGCCAACTTGGCTTCTTGTTCTCATTGTGCTTTCTGGTCCTTCCCTGGTCAGCCCTGGGATAGTAAAACAAGGAATAATTCCTTAGATACAGAGCCTACAGTTTGACACTCCTCAGTCTTTAGAACTCTAGCAAATAATCTCATTCTTTTCAATGTATCCAGTCAAGAGGAATTAAGACAATTAAGACATTTACCCACCCTAACAGCACCTCTCAATTTTCTCTCCTTTCTGTTCTTTACTCTCCATCTTCACAGATGTCACCATGTCTGAGAGAGAGAGAGAGAGATAGACAGAGAGAGAGAGAGAGAGAGAGAGAGAGAGAGAGATAGACAGAGAGAGAGAGAGAGAGAGAGAGAGAGAGAGAGAGAGAGAGAGAGAGAGAGAGAATACGAACATGGTGGCCTGGACCACGGTATCATTCTCCGGCAGGTCTTGCTGCCCCTGCTCTCACCCTTCTCTAGCACAGTTTCTATAAGGGAGTTGATGTCCCTTCAGTGCTGACGCCTGGAATGGCTCTCCTCTGCTTCTTAGAAGAAAGCAGGAAGTTCTTAGCAAAGTGCAAAGGCGTTGCCACAGCCCTGTCACCCTCGAGCCCCAACTATGCTGCCTTTTTTCCTGATCTAGACTAGTGGCTTTCGAATTCAGTGTGCGTGGATGTCACCCGGATGACCTGCTAAATCGCAGATCCTATTGACGGAAGCTGGTTCACTCCCAGATTCTAAATCAATAGGTCTCGAGTGGGCTCTGAGAAGTTGTGGCTCCTTTGTAATTGTATGTGTATGATTGTTTGTCTGCACATGTGTATGTGTAGCTCATACGTGCCTGGTGACCACGGAGGCCAGAAGAGGGCCTTGGATGCTCTGAACTGGAGTTGCAGATGGTTGTGAACCATCATTTGGGTGCTGAGAACTCAACCTGAGTCCTTTTTAAGAGCAGAAAGTTCCCTAACCAGTGAGCTTCCCAATCCCAAGCTGCCATGGTCTATGGTATAATATAGCAGATGACAATTAATAATTCAGATATCAACCCACCAGATAAATAATTCTCTGATGGTGGAAGCCCATTTTAAGTAAGGCTTACAAGGCCACGGACTCTGAATACTGTTTGCTTCTGTCTGTAATTCAACATGTGCAAAAACAGTTGTGAAATCTCCTCAAAACCTGTATTTTAATGAATAAGCTCATGATTACATCTCAATCTTGTGGGCATTTATTCTGTGGACTGTCTAAACGATGACCCCTCACTATGCTGTATTACTTATTTTATATCTATAATGTTAACTTGCAAAGAGTTTGATGAATAAACTCCATACAAGGAATTTCTACAGTAGTCAGGAATTTTAATTTCCTGAGAACTGTTTAAATTCAGAGCTTAGGCTGACATAAGAAAATGGTTGCATCTCCCCAACTCTAAATGACTAATTTAAGGTTTCAAAGTAAACCTTTAGATTAAGACCAGGCTGCCTTGCTAATGGATTTTAGGGTATACACTTGCAGAAATAGCAGTCTAGTTCAGAGGGACATACTGAGCCCTCTGGATAGGTTGTAAATACAAATGAGTCCAGGGATTTAGCTGGGAAATGATTTAGGCCTTGCATCCATTCCTGACCTCAGTTTGATAATATGTTTTCACTGGCCAAGGCTACAGAAAATGACTTGACTCTGTAATGCCCAATGAGGACTGTAGGTGTTCTCAGGTAACCAGAAGTTACACACACGCCTTTAATCCCAGCACTTGCACTTGGGAAGCAGAGGCAGAAGAAGGCAGAGCTCTTTGAGTTAAGGTCAGCCTGGTCTACAGAGCAAGTTCTAGTTCTGCTAGGGCTACACAGAGAGACCTTGTCTCAAAAACCAACCAACCAACCAACCAACCAACCAACCAACCAAACAAACAAACAAACAAACAAAGAGAAATAAGTTACAGACAGGATAAGAAAATATATTTCAAGATTAAAAACACTTTTTCCAGGTAGTGGTGGCGCATGCTTTTAATACCTTTGGCAGTCTGAGTGAGAGGTCTTCCATAATCTACTGCACTGAACACTTGGTCTCCAGCTGGCAGTGCTGTCTGGGAGCTGCGGCCTTGGTTCAGAGATTACATCACTGGGAGGTGGGCTTTGTGGTTTCAAAGACTCTGACTGTTCTAGCTCCCTCTCTGCTTCCTGCCTGTGGGTTAAGATGTGAGTTCTCAGCTGGGCAGTGATGGTACATACCTTTTTTTTTTGTTGTTTTTTGAGACACATACCTTTAATTCCAGCACTTGGGAGGCAGAGGCAGACAGATCTCTGTAAGTTTGAGGCCAGCCTGGTCTACAAGAGTTAGTTCTGGGATAGGCCCCAAATCTACAGAGAAACCCTGTCTCAAAACACCCAAAAACCAATCACTTCTATTTTTAGTGTGTTATTAGTGAGTGCCCTAGTGAGCTCATATTAAGAAAATTAAGGCAAACCTAGGTTCCTACCAAAGCATTTACAACACAGCTCTTTTTCTATAAACACTTCTAGAAAGCCTGGCATTTCCGCTAAGCACAAAATGATAGATAACGTAATGAATGATTCTTTATTTCCAGCTACAGTTTATAATCAATTAAGAAGTTGAGATTTATTAATTGTATGTATCTGGATGGCTAGGTTTCTTATCATTTACTGAAGTGCGACCTTAAAATGTAACTCCTGTTGATTATATATAGCTGTCGAGATAAAGAAGAGCCTGAAGTCACCATGAGAAAATGGAATCTAGATGAGAAAAGAGAGCAAATGAGAGACTACAGAAAGTTACCATCGGATCTCTGGGAGTTTGAGGCCAGCCTGGTCTACAAGAGCTAGTTCCAGGACAGGCTCCAAAGCTACAGAGAAACCCTGTCTCGAAAAAAAAAAAAAAAAAGAAAGTTACCATCGGAATGGGTGCGTTCCTTTCCTAAAGACCTTCAAACAAAAAAGTTTCCTGAAGCCTTTGCTACTCTGTGGCATTTTCTTTACCACCCTGAAGCAGCCTTGAAAGCTGGTCTTCCCGCTGCAATACCAAACGTCAGTGTTTTTGTCTCCTATCTGTGGTGACTTCATTGCTCCAGTGTTCTGGGTTCACTGGGTTCACTGTGGAACTGGTGGCTACTTATGACACTATGCTATGCGCAAAGGACTCTCCACTCATTTACTTTTTTTTTTTTATAATCTCCATTTCCCATGGAGGGACTTAAGAGGCAGGTTATATGATCCCATTTTCACCAAGCACCAAATGAATAAAACCAACACAAATGAAATCAAAACAACCTACCTCATGATAGTTGCTATGGTTTCCTGGTTTCTTCCTGTTTTGATTTGTCTCTCCTGCCACCCCAGGGCCATTTTATCATCTCTGAGCTCTAGACCAGACCTAGGATCTCAGTTTGGGCCACTCCTTACCGTGTGCTCTGGACGAGCAGCTTGGGTTTCTCTTCCTTCAGAGCCTTAAGTTCTACCATCACCTGGTCATTCAGAGAGCTCAAGTCCAGCCTGCAAGCACAAGGGAAGCCATATTGTCCTGGGATACACTAGGGAGCATGAACGACTCTGTCACAGGTTCCTCAGAATTAGTTATGAGATAAAGCCAGTGAGGGGGCTTATTGGTGTATGTTCCTTGACTAACACCAGGATAGAGAGGAGAGGCCAGTCACCATGGAGAAAGTCAGATGTGGCCATGATGTGGTGTCAGTGAGGTCTTAGCCAGATCACAGGCATATCTGAACTGGGATGATGGCCTTTGGAGCTGTCTAGAGTTGACTTTTTATACTCCTACATGGGTCAGATTCCGGATATGGACCATCCTAGGAAGGGAACATGACTGGATGAGGTGGTTCTTATTGGGAGCCATCAGCATCCCAGTGGTTGGGGTTGTGGCTTTGTCACAGAGAGGACTCTGGACAGTTCTTTAAAGAGAATATAGAATATCTGTGTTCTAGGATTTTGTGAGAATTCCTTCACCCCCATTTTAGTGCTGGAGTTGGAAGTCTCGTTCTCACACATGAGCGTTCTCTATTGAGCCACACCCCAGACCCTGGATTGCATTCAGGCTTCAAGTTTAGGAGAAAAGTCACCTTCCCTGAGCCTCCATGTCCATAACCAGGAACATCATCCCTGCCTCTCAGCCCGCTGTGAAGCAAGGACAAGCAGAAGAGGAAAGAGTCCCACACTTCTGAGAGGCTGTGCAATGTCACCATTCTTGCCCTATGGGTTGTTCTCTCTGGGGAGGGAGATGGAGCCATTGATGCTGAAGTTTGTTCCTTTCTCCAGTAGGGAAGGAGGCAGCTAAGATTTGACAGGTCACTGAGATGTATCCTAAAGCAGACCTGTGGCAGAGGCCTTCCTGGAAAGACCCATCAGCAGGCGGGAGAGAGTCGGGGTGTAAGCTGGATGGGCCATTTCCCACAGAGAGGCCAAAAGCAGACTTTTCAGCACCATACCCTGCTCTGACTGTTTCTTTGGGTTTCAAAGTAGAAGTGCGGTCCTGGGTGGGGAAAGCCACAGGGCATAGCCTACTAGGACCCTCTGCTAAATGTAAGCAGCAGAGGACTCTGGGCAGGAACTGTATGGAGTGTTCCCCTAGCTCAAGCTGGGGAAGGGAGAGGAACCTGGATACACGGAAGTAGAGAAGGACTTTCAGGAGGGAGGCGTTTCTAGTTTGCATGCAAATCTATGGCATATAGACAACTCCATTTCAGCCACACAGGGCCGACTCAAGCCCCTTCAAGGCTCTAAGGAGGTCGTTGGCTTCCTTTTGTTTCAGGGTCTCCCCTACTCTGATTTGTCGGCTGTCCCCAGGTTGGCCTCAGAGAGGCCCCCATGGACCCTTCAGGGCAGTCTCCCCTCCCACAGCACTACACTCCCACAATACTATTGACTTTGCAGCCTTCAGCAGAGCGTGTCAATGCTGGATCACGTGATCACAGGTGATCTATATCTGTCTCTTCCCGCCCAGCTTTCGAAGGACAAAGCCATGTGTGCTTGTGCCTGGATCCCTCGTACCTGGACCAGTGCTGGGCACACAGGGGGCCTGATATGAAGGAATGAATGAGTGTCTGACTGAGTGTGTGAGCTACCATGGAGCGAAGTGAAACCCTGTGAACATGTGGCCTCCTTTTTAGCTTTCTTTTAATTTTTTCTTTGTGTCTTTCACATCATGCATCTCGATTCTATTCCTTTTCCCGTACCTTTGTATCTATCCTCTGTCCTTGCAACCTCCCTCTGAAAATAAAATAAAAATTTTAGGGCTAAATAAAAAAAGGAAAAATAAATTTCATCATATGTACTTTAGGGTGACACAGTGAGTCACAATTTACCCTTTTATCCTTACATCTTTACTTGCAAGTGTTCATTGCAGAGAGTCATTGGTCTGGTTCAAGGCCTCTGGTTTCTGCTGCACTATCGATGCTGGGGCCTCACTGGGACTCCTCTTGGTTATCATGCTGTTGTTCTGTGCTGTGGAGACCCTGCAGTTTTGTGTCTACAGAATCAGTCTCTTCACATGCTCCAGTAAATCACAGATGGGATGGATGTTGTGCTGGGCCAGCTCATAACCCTGTTCTGGGATGAGTTCTGTCAGAGTTGGTCAGCCGGTCAGCTCTCCCTTGTCCTCACCACCAGGGCGAGCTCTCCAACTTGCCCTGGCTAATCCAAAAAGAGCAAGGGGGTGGGGCCATTTCTCCTGCTTTCCTGCCCTCAGGATTGGCCCTCCCACCTTCACACCCACACCATCAAGGTCAACTCAAGGTCAACTCTCCCACTTCGTGGGGAGGGCTTCTCTTCCTGCCTACTCTACCTTAAGGAAGATGAGGAGAGGGACCAGATCTCCCATGTTCACCTTTACAGGGCTGGCTCATCTGCACCCCAGTTAAGAGGGTGAGCTCTATTGTGCTGCCCAGCTGATGTTCAGGGCTCACTTGCCTGAGGGCTGCCAATGGTAAGTGGGAGGGACAGCTCCCTCAGCCACCAAAGGTGGTAGGGGCAAGAGTGGAGGGCATCTTTCCTTTGCCCTCACTACCACATGACAGATGAGGGGGCTGTAGATCCCATTCTTCCATCCTCAGGGCTAGCACACCTCTGCCTCCACCAGTAGGGTCAGTTCTACTGTGCTACCCAGGCGAGGAGCTAGGCACACTTTCCTGAGTCCTGTAGCTGGTAAGGCGAAGGGTCAGCTCCCTTGTTCCCTTGTCTGTTGCAGACAGCAAGGGGTGAGGGGCAAGGAGTAAGGGGGGCATCTTTGCCCCATCAATGCCGCCAACCTGCAGCCTCATTAAGAAATATGATTACACAGTACCCTGCTGCCCAACTATCATTATATTTGTTTATAACTATGTATATTTTATATCATTACAATATGCAAGGAGGGTATGAAGCTATCACTTAATAGATGAGGAAATTAAGTTGGGAAACTCAGGGACTTGATAAGCCATGGTATAAGTGGCAGAAGCTGGTCAGGAGCCAGGCTGACTGTGCATTATCTGTCCCTTTCTTTTCCACATCTGATCCTCTGGTACCCCATCTTCTGCCCTCCCTGGTCTCCTGGTAGAAGAGATCCCCCAGGGTCTTACCTCAGGATTCTGAGGTTGCAGGCAGGATTCCTGAGCCCCTCACACAGCAGCTTCACCCCTTGGTCACCCAGGTCATTCAGCTGCAGGTCCAGCTCAGTCAGGCTGCAGTTGGTGCTAAGCACAGAGGCCAGATCCTCACAGCTGCTGGCTGTGATGCCACATCTGACCAGCCTGCAGGAGAGATGCACTCTGTCATTTGCTGAGAGTTCACTCCTCTGGATAGTGGGGACTGGGCCTCCCTTTCTGGTACCTGCAAGTCCTCATTAAAGGGAAATTGGGGCTTCCCTGGCTTGTAGAAACTTTCAAAGTTTTAGTTTTCCTTTTGCATCTAAGTTATCCCTGAGGACGCAAACCACCTTTGCTTCTCATTCTTAGTAAGATTTATACCAATCCTCCTATCCACCACATTAACTATATACATATACTTTATCCAATGTCCAATGGGTATACCCGAGTTTAACTGGCCTACATTGTATACCCAAGTTTAATAGGCTACATTGACCTAGCTAAATAACCAGAGACAATGAATATATGATGTTTAGGTAGTTTCAATATTAAGGTCATTGATAGGCTAGGTAATAACCCAATGAGCTTCTTGCATAAGAATAGAAGGTGAAAGGGAGTATGGCAGGTTTGTTTGGACCTGAGAGCCTGTCTTGGGCTCCCCAGTACATATTGGGATCTGGAGTATGTGTTGCTCAGGTCAGGGCCTTGTCTGCAGCTGGCATCAGTGCTACATCTTTGTCTTTTCACTTCTTATCAATGTGGATAATTCAATGTGTCTCATAGCTGAGCTTCAGGATCAATGGTATATAATTAGAGGTTTACTCCTCTGTTGCTGTTGGGTCAAGGAGGGCCAAGTGCTGTGAAATCCACAGCATCCCACTAGTGTGTCTCAAGAACCATGCAAAAGTGAAATAGTCTATGAAGACATACATTAGGGCATGATCTCACTTGTCATGTGAAATCCTAGTAAAGATGGAGTCCATAGAGTAGAAGGTGGCTGCAAGGACAGAGAGTAGGTGGAAGTGGGGATGCCATTCCCTGGGCCTGGAACTTTCTTCCCTCTGCTTCATTTTGCCTCCTCCTCTGTGCTCTTCAGCTCCCCTGCAGCCACTTCCTCAGGATTTTTGTTCCACTGGAGCCCTTATGGGCCTGTTGTTAGCAATAGCTAGTGGGGGTCCTTGCTGAATGTCAGTCTTTCAGGATCCCCAAGAAATCCCATTTGTTTGTTTCAATAGCAAGTCTGGTATCTTGGATGTGGTCAAATGGGTTCAGTGAATGTTTGATGAATCCTAAGCCTCAACCTAGACTCAGTTTTTGCCTTTGTTCTCCTGCCATTCAGGGGAGAATCCAGGGCAGACTCACCACAATGTCTTTAGGTGACATTTAGCTTGTCTCAGCATCCTACAGAGACTCTGCACTGCTTAGTAGCTCATTGGATTCTCTCTTAGGTCCAGCTCCTCCAGGCTTCCTGTGAACTCAAGAGTGGAGAAGAAAACCTGCCAAGTGGCATTAGTGACAGGGGTCCACCTGGACCTGAGGGAAAGAAAGGGAAAGGAGGGATGTGAACTGCTTATGCATAGTCTGAAGTGGACAGACACACCCTGCACAGTGATAAAAATCTGTGGAGGTTTGAACAAGAATGTTCCCCAAAGCTCACAGATTTGAATTCTTGGACACTAGGGAGTGATACTATTCGGAGGTGTGGCCTTGTTGGAGGAAGTGTGTCACTGTGGGTGGGCTTTGGGGTTTCAAGTGCTCAAGCCTGGCCCAGTGTCTCTCTCTTCCTGCTGCCTTCAGATCTGGATGTAGAACTCTCCGGTATTTCTCCAGCACCATGTCTGTCTACATGTACCATGCTTCCTGCCATGATAATAATGGACTAAACCTCAGAGTGGAAGCCAGCCCCAAGTCAATGTGCTTTCTTTTATGAGTTGCTGAAGTCACGGCATCTCTTTACAGCAACAGAACACTGACTAAGACAGTTTCAATGTGCCATCCTCAGGACAGACGAACCTCTATGCCTACTCTTCTTCTCCAACATCTTGGTCCTTTATCTGTGTTTTTTTTTTATACCAGTGCCTAGTACAGGACCTGGCACAGAGGAAGACATTGATGGTTCAGTCTTATTTTCTTTGACATGTATATACCTGTTTCCTTTTGTT